TTCTTATTGTTATAATTGTATCACCTTTCTAAACCACGGCACGAGAATAATTCAAACAAAAAAGACGAGCACTTTCACAATAAACTGGGTTGTTTATTTGAATCTTTCTTAGGCAATTATTTCAAATAAATTCAGCCAATAGGAAACGCTAAGAAATATTAAAGAACGAAATATTTGTATAAAAATAATAACTTTCTTCGAAATAGGCATCAGTTTTTAAAACAACTTCCATCCAAGGAACACAAGTGTCGCCGATTTTCTAAAAATGGTAACTTGAAAATTTTTATAACTTTATCAGTATTTAACATGTTAGAATATAATTTATGTTAATATGTTTATTTTTCACAGAAATCCATATTGATTCCATTGTTATGTTTGTTGGCAACACCATTCGTTGCTTCGACCACCTACACCAGAAACGTGGTGCCGCTGGCAACTGTTCCAGTGGCTCGTTATGCCGTTCCTGTGACTGTAACACGTGAAATCATCCAAGCTGCCTCAGTTCCAGTAACGGTTCCCGTAGTTCAATACGCTGCTCCTGCTGTGGTGCGTCATTTAACTCCAGTTACCACCACCACATTGCTTCGTCCGGCTATTATTTCAACTAGAACTGATTTTCTTCAAAAGGCACATTAAGAAATTACAATATGTGAGCACGGAGCATGCTGATTCGATGGAACTAAAAATTCAAATGACATTTACTTTTTTAAATAAACACCGATGCACTACAAAACAGCTGAATTCATAAGAGGGTGGAGGTTAAAAGTTTCAGTAGATATTCACATTTTTGGACAGGATGTTTTCTTATTTTTATTGCTTAGGGCCCTCTCTATATTTCCAACATCATTGAAAGCAATTTGTTTTACTACCGCTTTTTAATCTTTCCATAAAACCTACAGGTTTTGAATAGTTTTGAGAAACTGTAATTTAATATTCGGAGTTCATCGAGGCGCGACAATGTACAAACGTCGGCCCACTTTATGTGGTTTCCTCCCCCAGAAAGGGTATAAATTTTAATACTCGTCGCTCTCGAAAACTTTCACATCGGCGATTTTAATCAAATTTCAAATCAAATCCTTAAATGTTGAATCTAGTCTTAAGATGTGATATATCCACCATTTTTATACCCTCCACCATACTATGGAGGGTATATTAATTTTGTCATACCGTTTGTAACTCCTCGAAATACTCATGTCAGACCCAACAAAGTATATATATTCTTGATCAGCGCAAAATTATATTCTATTCGATTTAGCGATAGCCGTCTGTCTGTTTGTCTGTTCGTATGTCTGTCTGTTGTAATCACGCTATCTTTCGAACGAATTGAGATAGAAGGCTAAAATTTTGCACACATGTGTATTTTGCCAGTAGGCAGGTTAAGTTCGTAAATGGGCCATGTAGGTCCTTTTAATATAGCCCCTTATAACCGTACCTCCCGATATTCGGTATTTTGATGATTTTATTCAACGGAATTTTTTCAAATTTGGTATTTGAAGTTCGAAATGGAGCTACAGCCTATGACAAAATATTGTCTGTGTCCCCGTCTTCGTATAGCCCCCATATAACGGTACCTCCCAATATTCGGTATTTTGACGATTTTAGATACAATACCTACCGAAATTGTTTGAGATGTCGTATTTGGAGTTTGTAATGGATGCTACAGCCTGTGACAGAAAATTGTCTATGCAGGTCCAGGTCTTCGTTTTGGCCCCATATATCAGTTCCTCCCTCTATACGGTATTTTGACGATTTTAGGTTCAATACTCACCCAAATTGTTTGAGATGTCGTATTTGAGGTTCGTAATGGAAGCTACAGCCTGTAACAGAAAATTGTCTGTGCAGGTCCAGGTCTTCGTATAGCTCCGATATAATGGTACCTCCCTAAATACGGAATTATGATATTCACCATTTATTTCAATGGCTTATGACAAACAATGCGCATGTAAGTCCATGTCGTATAGACCCCCAGTATAACGGCTATATTCGGTACTTTTAAGAATTTTTAACGGATTTTATTTTTTAAAATTTCCAAATTTGTTCCAAATGTTGGAGGGTATTCAAAGTTCGGCCTGGCCAAACTTACTGCTTTTCACACATATGATTCAGATGAAACTTCTTTACATTTCACGAAAGTTTAATAACCATCCTGATCAAACCATTACCAAAATTATGCTGAATCTCGTATTCGCCATGTTAAAGAGTTCACCCTTGATTTACAGGCCCACACCTTAAATTATTATATCCTACACCAACTGTGGGAAATAATCATCCAGACCTCCTTTTTGGTGTTCCCATATTCATATCAACCTTCAGGCTCAGTAATGGACCGATCTTGTGTAGAAGAAACGTCCAACCAGAATAGAAACCTAGAGTATCTAGTGGTGATCTCATCATATATGGGAAGGTGATATGGATTAAATATGCAACTTTTTATACCCTACAACACTATGTGGGGGTATTATAAGTTTCATTGGGCCAAAAATTATGTAACACCACGAAATATTGGTTTCCCACATAGGAAAGTATATATGGATCTTCCTATCTCGCCGAGCTGAGTTGATCTAGCTATGTATATCCGTCCGTGCGTCTGTCCATGTTAATTTGTAATCAAGCTACAGGTCGCAATTATGAACCGATCCTCACGAAATTGAAAATGGACGTGGGGTTAAGGTCAGAATAGAACCCTATTGTTTTTGGAGATGCTCGCACGATATTTAGGGGTTGAAATGGACCAAAACCAGAAAACTTTCCTGATTTTGCAGTTGCTCTATAGTTATATTTATATGGAGTTAGAGTTTTGGACTGGGCAGAAACCTACCAATTTGGGCGCCCATCGGACAATAATTAGCGGGTAAAATAGACCCTAACTTTTATGTTAGAAAATGGGAAAATTTCACTAAACCGCGAATATTTTTAATCCCAGTCAAGTCACAAATACATTGAAAGATAACTCCTGATCACTAAGTGATGCTAATAGCCAATAAATCGGATATATAGCAAAATAAATACAATATACATGTAAAAAATTGATCTTAATTATTCTGCTTATAAATCAAGAATCGCTGGGCCGATTTTCACAATTCCCATCAATTCGGAATGGTCTCTTGCCAGAAAAGGATAAAATCTAAGAAAATCGTGGGATAATATACCAATAAAAAAAGTTATATCTTTTGTTTCATTTTTTCCATTTTTGTCACGTTTTTCTCATATTTTTTTATCGCATGCGATTTTTTCAATTTGACTTACAATTTTGAATTTTAAATTTTCCAAAATTTTACACCCCCAACATTACGTTTTGAGGGTATTATATCTACGTAGCAATTATCGTCCGATCCTCACGAAATTTTGCATAGGGGTAGGGTCGGAATTGAAGACTACTGTTCTTAGGATGTACATTTAGAGGTTTAAATGGCTAAAAAATGAAATTTTTCTAATTTTGTAGTCGTTCAATTGTGAAAACTAATCGACACAGAATTTCGCATCGGAAGAGAGTTAAGGACAGGGAAGAAGTCTAGCATTTTGGATGGCCATTGGATTATATTTAGCTGTAAAAGGGACCACAATTTTCGTGTGCAATTATTTTGAATACTTAACAACACTACGGAGTGCATAAATATTGGCCAAATTCTCCGTATCAAAACACCTAAGGGTAACTTCTGGGCAGGGCTCTCTGGCATTATTTCAAAAACGAAATCTTCCAAAATGGATTTGGATATAAGGGGACTTCGAACATATTGTAGTGTTGTAGGGTATCACATGGTCGGCCCCGCACGACTATAGCCTTTGCTTACTTGTTATTAATACATTTTGACCCTTGGGGAAGTATTATGAGGGTATTAACATATATGGTTGGTATAAATACATAAACATGCAAAGCTTTGACATCTTGAACCTTCGGGTTTCAAAAGAAACTTTGGTAAATTATTTTGTAGTTTATGAGGCTTACAGGGTTAGATGAAAAAAACTGCAGCCAACTTCAGACCGCTGTCATTTCTAAGCCACTCGTCCGAACAGCTGTTAAAATGATTCCAGTGACAGCTCATTATATGGTTTATAAGCGTTCAAAAGCATTTTGCTAAGAGTTTTCCAGAAAAAAAGTTATTCATGATGGAGTTCAGGCGTGATAGTGTGATTACTTTATATTTGGCTGGAAAATCACATGTGGCTATCGTTAGAGAACTCAAGCATTGAAATGTGAATAAATCTTTTATGTCTCGTACCATCGCTCCTTACAGTGATACTGGTAGCGTAAACCCGACGTCAAGGAAGTGGACGGAAGAAAACAGCAACATCTGCAAAAATGGTTCGACAAATAAAGAAGCAAATTGATCGATACCCTAGTCGCAGAGGCCGAAAAATAGTTCGTGAGCTGAACATTTCGCAATATTCCATTCGGCAAATATTGAAAAAAAGCTCGAGGTAAAGGCATTGAAATTCCAAAAAATGCAAGAACTTACACCGTAACAGAAAAAAAGAGGCCTAAGAGGTCAGCTGAAAATGTGCACCTTCGGTTGGCCACCAGAACTCAAGCGCTAGCCATGGAGATTGTGTTGGCCGCCATAACAGCCGATGGTCGCTCTCCGCTCGTATTAATCGACCGTGGCATCAGAATAAATGCCGAATATTATCGCGAACATTTTGGCAGGCAAATATTTTGGCCGCAGACCTTGGACATTCCAACAGGACTCAGCACCATCGCACTCAACACGCGCCACCCAAGAATGGGTACAAAATGAGGTTCCTCGCTTCATTTCCAGCGCACAATGGCCACCAAAATCTCCGGATACCAATCCGTTGAACTATTGTGTCTGGAGTATTTTGGAAACCTAATTCAATAAAATTTAAAAAAAATGTAAAAATTATGGCTTTTGACTTTGCTGCAGTTTTTTTATCTCACCCTTCCCATTCCTATGTGCCGGAGCAATATTTCGAGGTACCCATAGTGTTGTAGGGTATAAAAACAACAACAATAATTTTCGAAAATATTTGTTTTTGTATTTATTTTTTGTTTGTAAGATATACCAATTAACATTCCGTAACATAGATTAGAAATATTCCGAATGATAGATAGTATTCCTATTTAATTCGTATAACAATTCGAATTTTGTCGCAGATTTGAGAGAAAAAATTCAAAAAAATAACAGATCACAATTTAATAGATGTAACCACCATCGGCGGCATATTTGGTACCGCCTGACGATGAAGACGAGGAGGCGGTGTATGCAGCTCCACTTGCTCCTGTCGAAACTGGGGCAGTATAAGACTGATAGCTGTTGTATGATTGACCAGGTCCAGCAAAGGATTGTTGGGCGCCACTAGAGCTTGCAAATGTTGTTTTCTGGGCAGCTGGAGCAGTGTAGGCTTGTTGTGTCGAGGAGGTTGTATAGGTCTTCTGGACGGCAGGAGCAGTGTAAGTTACTTTCTGGGTTGCAGGAGCAGTATAAGATTGATAGCTGTTATATGATTGACCAGGTCCAGCAAAGGATTGTTGCGAACCGCTAGAGCTTGAGAATGTAGTTTTCTGGGCAGCTGGAGCAGTGTAGGCTTGTTGTGTCGAGGAGGATGTAAAGGTCTTTTGGACAGCAGGAGCAGTGTAAGTTACTTTCTGTGTTGCAGGAGCAGTATAGGACTGATAACTGTTATAAGACTGACCAGGTCCAGCAAAGGATTGTTGCGAACCGCTAGAGCTTGTGAATGTGGATTTTTGAACAACTGGAGCAGAGTAGGCTTGTTGAGTAGAGCTGGTTGTATAGGTTTTCTGGACAGTAGGGGCGCTGTAAGTAACCTTTTGTGTGGCAGGAGCAGTATAGGACTGATAACTGTTATAAGACTGGCCAGGTCCAGCAGCAGCAACAGTCTGTTGGGCGCCACTTGTGTAGGTGACTTTTTGAGCAGCAGGAGCAGTATAAGATTGATAGCTGTTGTATGATTGACCAGGTCCGGAACTGGTTTTTTGGGAACTGCTGGTATAGGTGACCTTTTGGGGAGCAGGAGCTGTATAAGATTGTTGGGATGAAGTAGAGGTGTAGGTCTTCTGAACTGTGGCAGGAGCGCTGTAAGTAACCTTTTGGCTGGCAGGAGCTGTGTACGATTGATAACTGTTGTATGACTGGCCGGGTCCCGAGCTGGTCTGTTGTGAGCCACTGGTGTAGGTTACCTTTTGCGGTGCTGGAGCGGTATAAGATTGATAACTGTTATAAGACTGACCAGGTCCAGCATTGGCTTGTTGAGAGCTGCTTGTGTAAGTAGTTGTCTTTTGGCTAGCAGGAGCAGTATAAGATTGATAGCTATTGTAGGATTTACCAGGACCCGCAATGGCTTGCTGGGAAGTACTTCCTGATGTGTAAGTTACCTTTTGACTCGTACTAGCAGGAGCAGTATAAGATTGGAAGGATTTTGAGGCACCGCCAGAAGTTTGTTGAGAAGTACTAAAGGAAGTCTTTTGAGCAGCTGGAGCTGTATACGACTGATAGCTGTTATAGGATTGACCAGGTCCAGCTATAGATTGTTGGCTACCTCCAGTTGTGAAAGTGGATTTTTGAATGGCTGGAGCAGTATAACTTTGTGTAGTAGTAGTCGATTTATAGCTCTGCTGCGAACTGGGAGCTAAATAGTTTCTATCAACATTATTGGCAGATTTTTGAACCGTTGAAGTGGTGAACGATTTAGGGGCCGTATAGGATTGATAACTGTTGTAGGATTTACCAGGACCGGACACGGTTTGTTGTACAACCGGAGCCGAGTAGGTTATCTTTTGAGCAGCAGGGGCAGAGTAGGTTTGTTGAGCAGAATTGCTTGAATAAGTAACAGTTTGGGCAGCTGGAGCGTTAAAAGTTTTTTGACTTCCAGCTCCCGATGAAGTATAAGATTGATAACTATTATAAGATTTACCAGGTGCAGAATAGGTCTGTTGGGCGCTGGGAGCGGAGAAGGTCTTTTGGGAGCTATAGGTCTGTTGGGTAAGAGGAGCACTATAGGTGTGTTGCACACTTTGTTTGACAGCAGCCGCTGGTGCGCTATATGTTTGGGATGTAAAGGTCTTTTGGACAGCCGGAGCAGTATAAGCCTGTTTAGCACCGGTTGAGTAACCGCTGGCGACACCACCAAAACCTGTTTGTTGCTGCTGTTGATATGCACCCGAATTAAATCCACGAGATGATGAAGTTGAATAACCAGTATTTCCAGTGGCAGATGAGAAACCAGTTTTTCCTGCATTAAAACCACCATTTGCTGCGGAATAGGCATTACCGCTCACCACATTGCCTGCTGTGTATCCGGATGAGGGCGAAAATGAAACGGTACGTGATTGAGCCGATACGGAATGTGGTGGCAAGTAGGAGTTGCCGGCAAGGTGAGAGACATCAGCACCTACACAGGCCACCAGGGCGACTAGAGCGAGCACACATTTCTGTAAGTGAGAGGAGAAATGTATTGAAGTTTCAATTAAATATTATTTCTTAACAATTTCAATTTCATAATTTGATAAAAGTTCGTCACATGGAATTTTCCGTAAAATGTCATCCTAGGATAGTCACAGAGGAGAAATTCAGTAATTTTTATGACTCTTGATATCCTAAACTGAAGCTGTAGATGTGCCAAAATTTTGTTCATATTTTTAAATGTCCATCAAAAGAAAATAATTTTTTTGGAAATGGCGGATAAAACTTTCAGATGTATCAAGCTCTTGTGTATTTTCGACCTAATTTTTTATACCCTCCACCATACTATGGAGGGTATATTAATTTTGTCATTCCGTTTGTAACTCCTCGAAATACTCATGTCAGACCCAACAAAGTATATATATTCTTGATCAGCGTAAAATTCTAAGACGATTTAGCCATGTCCGTCTGTCTGTCTGTGTGTCTGTCTGTCTGTCTGTCTGTCCGTCTGTCTGTCTGTCTGTCTGTCTGTTGTAATCACGCTATCTTTCGAACAAATTGAGATAGAAGGCTAAAATTTTGCACACATGTATATTTTGCCAGTAGGCAGGTTAAGTTCGTAAATGGGCCATGTAGGTCCAAGTTATCATATAGCCCCCATATAACTGTACCTCCCGATATTCAGTATTTTTATGATTTTAGCGACATTATTCGCCGGAATTGTTTCAAATTTGGCATTTGAAGTTCGTAATGAATACTACAGCCTGAAACAGAAAATTATCTGTGCAGGTCCATGTCTTCGTGTAGCCCCCATATAACGGTACCCCCCGATATTCGGTATTTTTATGATTTTTGCGACATTGTTTACCGGAATCGTTTAAAATTTGGTATTTGAACTTCGTAATGGATACTACATCCTAAGTCAAAAAATGAGCCATGTAGGTCCACTTCTTCATATAGCCCCCATATAACGGTACCCCCCGATATTCGGTATTTTAATGATTTTAGCGAAATTATTCAGCGAAATCGTTCCAAATTTGGTGTTTGAAGTTCGTAATAGATACTGCAGCATAAAACAGAAAATGGGCCATATAGGTCCACGTCTTCATATAGCCCCCATATACCGTACCCCCCGATATTCGGTATTTTGATGATTTTAGCGACATTATTTACCGGGATTGTTTCAAATTTCGCATGTGAATTTCGGAATGGATACTTCAGCCCATGCCAGAAAATTGTCTGTGCAGGTCCATGTCTTCGTATAGCCCCCATATAACGGTACCCCCCATATTCGGTATTTTAATGATATTAGCTAGATTATAAACAGATTTTTCTTCAAGTTTTGCATTTAAATAGTGTAATAACTTATGACAAAAGTTGCCCATGCTGCCCCACGTCGTCGTATAAGCATTCGGTATTCTTAAGATTTTAACAGAATTTTTAACGGATTTTTTTTATTAGAAAATGCCAAATTTGTACCAAATGGTGGAGGGTATTAAAAGTTCGGCCCGGCCGAACTTACAGCTTTTTTACTTGTTTAAATTGAAATCAAAAGGTCATGCCATGAGCCGAACGTCTCGAAATCTTACATGGAGTTACGCTTTCTGAAAATGAAAAATAATTGGACATACTAGCAGATATTACCCGTACAGTTTAGAATATGAGACAAGAAATAATAGCAAAACCAGTAAGGAAAGGTCAAAAGTCGGGCGGGGCCGACTATACGCTACCCTACACCACTATGCATTAGTAGAGCTCCCATAACAAAGAATTTATTTGAAGTAGATCATGCCACCTATCAATATTTGGCTTTAGAGAAGTTACAGTTTGGTTTCAGAGGGAACTAATATATGGGAGACATATACAATTCTAAATCGATTTTCACTAAATTTGACGGAGACGGATTTTAATCTTTAATACCAAATAAGATTGCTTTATAGTGTAGGATATCACTTCGAAAAGGATTATATTAAAAAACATATATCGGAGCCGAGTTCCACAAAATGGAAACGTACATCCCGAAATTCACTCCATTTTGACTGATATTAGCCATATAATGGCACAATAAATATGAATTCGGATTAAGGATATATTGGAGCTGCATCCAAATTTTAGCCGTTCCCTATTAAATTTGGCAAAGGTATTTCCGAGCTCTATAAGATATCTGGTTTCAAATATCATTGTTGTCGAATGCAAATTACAAATGTAAGGGACTTCAACACCAAATCGGATGAAACATATATATGGGAGCTATATCCGAACCGATTTTCTCCGAATTCGATGTACTTGCTTTTAGACTGAATTCAGTCGAAGTTCCAAATTTCAGTACTTTTGGTGCACAATTAACCAGAAATCGGTTGGGGTTCGCATTGGGCCAAACAAATATTATTTGACAAATTTCAACTCAATCGGATAATAAATGCGACCTGCATTTTGTTCACAAGCATACAATGACGGACGGACGGACTGAGATGCATAAATCGGCTCAAAAAGTGATTCTATGAAGATCCTCAAAAGTAACTATGGGTCTATCTCGCTTCCTTCTCCATGTTACAAACAAATGCTCAAAGACATAATACCCTTAGCACTATGTAGTGTAGGGTAGAATTAGATAATTATAATCCTTTAAGCTTGGCATACCGACCAATCAGACGAAAGCTATCATGTTACTATGTCCTACTCAGAGCACAGATTTTCTTAATTTCTCTTGGGAGCGAAACTTGCTCACAAGAGGGAGTGATTTACTCTTCACTCTTTTTGAATTGCTGTTTGAAAATTTAGAGTGGGAATCGAAAAGCCGAAAATATACAGGGTGAGATGAAAAAACTGCAGGCAATTTCAGACTGCTGTTATTTCTGAGCCACTCGTTCGACAGCTGTGAAAATTATTCCAGCGTCAGCTCATTATATTGTTTACCAGCGTAAAAAAGCATTTTGGTAAGAATTTTCCAGAAAAAAAGTTATTCGTGATGGAATTCAAGCGTGACAGTGTGATTTCTTTATATTTGGCTGGAAAACCACAAGTGGCTATCGTTAGAGCACTCCAGAATTTAAAAGTGAATAAATCTTTTGTGTCTCGTACCATCGCTCGTTACCATGATACTGGTAGCGTAGTCCGACCTCAAGGAAGTGGACGGAAGAAAACAGCAACATCAGCAAAAATGGTTCGAAAAGTAAAGAAGCGAAAAAAAAATCGAAACCCGCGTCACAGTGACCGAAAAATGGCTCGTGAGCTGAACATATCGCAATATTCCATTCGGCTAATATTGAAAAATGAGCTCGGGGTAAAGCCATTGAAATTCCAAAAAGTCCAAGAACTTACACCACAACAGAAAGAAAATAGACCCAAAAGAGCTTAAGAGTTGCTTCGTTTGGACGAAAGTGGTGAACTGCCGAAATTGGTTTTCTCCGATGAGAAAACATTCGTTGTCCAGCAGTTTGTAAACAAGCAGAATGCTCATGTTTACTTGCCAAAGAGGTCAGCTGAAAATGTGCACCTTCGGTTGGCCACCAGAACTCAAGCGCCGGCCATGGTGATGGTGTGGGCCGCCATAACAGCCGATGGTCGCTCTCCGCTCGTATTAATAGACCGGGGCATCAGAATAAATGGCCGAATATAAAATTAAATATTCTGGTTACAAAATGAGGTTCCTCGCTTCATTTCCAGCCAACCAAAATCTCCGGATACCAATTCGTTGGACTATTGTATCTGAAGTATTTTGGAAAGCAAGGTTGTCACTTAAAAAAATACCAAAGTGTCGATCACCTGAAGCAAGCGCTTCGCCGGGAATGAGCCAGAATGCCGCAGAGCAACATTAGGGCAGCGTGTGACGGTTTTATAGTTCGAAAATGTTCTGGAGGGTGTAAAAGGGAGGGCCTTGGGCACGCAAACATTTTGGCCGCAGACCTTGGACATTCCAACAGGACTCAGCACGCGCCAACCAAGAATGGTTACGAAATGAGGTCCGTCGCTCCATTTCCAGCGCACAATGACCACCAAAATCTCCGGATTCCAATCCGTTGGACTATTGTATCTGGGGTATTTTGAAAAACAAGGTTGGCACTTAAGAAATACCAAAGTGTCGATCACCTCAAGCAAACGCTTCGCCGGGAATGGACCAAAATACCGCAGAGCAACATTCAGGCAGCGTGTGATGGTTTTATAGGCCGTTTGAAGGCCATAATTCGTGCCAATTCGAACAAATCTAAACTTATTTTAAAATGTGATGCTATTTCCGACATTTTTTGCTTTCCTTCAATAAAATTAAAAAAAAAATTAAAAATTGTGCTCTCAGAGTGCTTTAACGTGTTAGATTTTTACTGGAAAAAATTCAGATCGCAAAATTTGTTTACAACCTGTCCGCATTTTGATATATGCTTAGGTTAGACCGTTCATTTAGGGACACCTGTTGACCACAAGTCGATACAGCCATAGTTGCTGGAATTGGAATTTTAAAATCTCATCGAGTAGAAAACATCCTTTGCAATAACTGTTGAATGAAGGTCGACATTTTTGGAATATAACGCCAGTCCCCAAATAATAGGTATTTGAAAAGTCCAAACCACATATTTTCAACTGAATGGTATTTTTAAAGGTTTTGACATAGGGGTCCCATCACTTCAATTCCACCGATCTCAAGACAACTGATTTCCCAATAATTAAGCATTTTAACGCCCTTTTTACTTGGTTTTTATTTAGGGAGGGATTTTTTCATTATATCGATGTTATTATTCGAGATATCACATAAAAAAGGCTTCACAGCATTAAACCATAAATCTGAATCACACACATTCACATTGTTATTACAATTGCCGATATTAACATTTATCAATCATAAAAAAAAAGGTTTGCCTTGATCCTTGTTAAGCTTTTGCCACTTGGATAAAATTTTTCTCACGTTCATGCAAAAAAAAAGCAAAACAAAAAATACGAAGCACACATTAAACTTCTCCAAGGACAACTGAGACACATCATCATTTGCCACAATCAAATTTATTATTCAACTTTTTTTTTTTTTAATTATTAATGGATCTGCTGCGTTCAGTTCACTAATGTCAGAAACATTTTAGACAAATATTCACAAACGTACACTGACCATTTTGAATGGCACCTTTTGGCTTCCTCCGCTGCGTTTCTATGGCTAATAAATTGTTGATGGGATTTTTTTCCGATTTCTTCACTTAATTCGCGTTTAAATTATTATTCGTTTGTGTTCCGTGCGAATCTCAGGTATTTTCAACAAAATATGCAAATTGAACGAAGCAACGAAAAGGAAATCAAAATCCGCCGCGTACAACTGTGGTTGCCGCTGGTACAATTAGAACTGTTTAGTGTTTGGCTGGCAGCGCACGCATTTATAGTTGAATTCAAAAATTCAGAATAACTAGCCAAAGCCATGGCAGCCAGTCTGTCAGTCAGTCCATCGCCAAAAGTTCACAAGTTAGATGCTCAACAGTTAGAAGATTATGACGTTAAAGCGTCAAAGAAGACAAAGAAGTAAGCCAGCCAGCCATACAGCCAGAGGTAGGTATTTGCTAATAAATGGGCCTGTTCAGTTCAGTCCGCAGCACAACTCGAAGACGCACTCGCTCGTAATGATAGACATATGTAAGACACTAGATACCACCGGCTAACCAAGGCAAGTTCATGCCAAAAATGTCATTCAACGGGTGTGTGTGTGTATAACTGACCAAAGATAGGCGGGCGGGGTCTCTATCCGCTAGACTCTCCGTCATGGTGCTGAGTCTGCCTGTGTGTGTTTCATCGAAATATAAAAGTAATATTTTTTTGATTATAAATCTGCGCCCACAATAAAAAGAACAACACAAGCCGTAAGTCTGTACTACCAGCAACGTAACACCAAAGCTCGTTGGAGACAGTAAAACCAGCCGATAATATCCATAAAATGGATGAGTTGTATGTGTAATAGCTGACAAGATCGATACATCAATTCCATCATCATTACCATTACTAACGCCGTTAGTAACTTGTTGGATGAACGCGATCGTGAGATACCATCATCTGCACCAATGTCGCTATTTGAAAACAAACAACAACACACAAAATGTGCAACAATATTCAGTTTTTACTTTCAAGATTATATTACATCCAGAATTGATGGATTCAAACGAACCATTTACCAATGTTGTTATTATGGATTAGTAGATTTGTTGCACTCTACAGTCAGTCCAAATAAAAGCTATGGCAAAACAAGCAAACAAGTTGTAAGTTCGGCCAGACCGAACTTTAAATACCCTCCACTATTTGGAACAAAATTTGGCAATTTTCAAAAAATAAAAACTGATAAAAATACGACGAAGCGGACCTGCATAGGCAACTTTTATCATAATATTTAAATGCGAAACTTCAAAAACATCGGTGAATAATGTCGCTTAAATCATCAAAATACCGAATATCGGGAGGTACCGTTATATGAGGGCTATACGAAGACGTGGACCTGCACTGACAGGCTGTAGTATCCGTTACGAATTCCAAATACTAAACTTTGAACATTTGAAGTTCCCAAATGGGTACCACATCCTATGACACAAATTGGCGTTTGCAGGCCCAGATCTTCGGATAGCTCCCATATAGCGCTACCTCCCTACATTCGGTATTATAATAATTTTAGCGAAATCTTTCGCCGGAATTGTTTCAAGTTTCATATTTAAATATCGCAATGGCCTATGACGAAAATTCCATTTACAGATCCTCGTTTTCGTATAGGCCCAATATAACGATACCTCACTATAATCGGTGTTTTTATGATTTTAGCAGTATTTTCCGACGGAATGTTATACCCTACAACACTATGCGTTGGAGGTATTATAGGTTTGAATGGGCCAAAAATTATGTAACACCTCGATAAAAGTAAAGAAAGTCTTAAAGTTGGACGGGGCCGACTTTATAATACCCTACACCACTTTGCTAATTTAGAAGAGCTCCGCATAACAATTAAAAGTTTTTATGGGAGAATTCAAACATACACGCTATGATTATAATTATAATTTAAAGTTCAAAGGACTAAATATACCGAAGCATTTGTATCTTTTAATTTCGGACTTGTATTGCCCATTTGGTACACAATTAATTTGAAATCGGATAAAGATATATATGGGAGCTATATCCAAATTGGAACCGATCTCGATAAAATTTGGCAAAGCTATTTCTGAGCTATATTTGATGTATTTCCCTGAATATCGTTGTTACGGAGTGCATATTACGGCTGTGGGTAACATATATAACAAATCGAATGAACAATATATATGGGAGCTATAGCTATATCTGAACATATCTTCACCAAATTTGACATACTAGCTTCTTGACTCAATTCGGTCGTAAGTGCCAAATTCCATACCATTTGGACAAAAATTAGACGTTTGGTGCACAATAAAAGGTATATCGGACGAAGTTATATATGGGAGCTATATCCAAATCTGAACCGATCTCGATAAAATTTAGCAAATGTATTTCTGAGCTGTATTTGATATATTTCCCCAAATATTGTTGTTACAGAGTGCATATTACGGCTGCGGAGGACAAAAATAACAAATCGGATGAACAATATATATGGGAGCTATAGGCCTATCTGAACTAATTTCGATCAAATTTGGCATACTCATTTTCAGGTCCAATCTGATCGTACGTATTCCGGCTGATATTACACGTTTGGTGCATATATATCTTCGTCCCATGTTATCGCATGGGATTTTGTATATCCTCAGTCATATGGCTATCATTTTTAAACCCTGGGTCTCTTTGTACAAAATCCGTGGTCGATCTAGAGATGTCCGTCCCTCCGTCTGTCTGGCTGGTTGGTGTGCACGATAACTCTCGAAGGGAATATCCGATTTAATCCAAACTTGGTACATCGTAACATTATTGGCAAACTTAGATCGAGTTCGGAGATGGGCAATGTCGGTTCACTCCTTTTGGTTCCTTCTCCACAAAATGTCAACATTTTCATTTAAAATAACTTACTGCACAGAAAGAGAAAGGATAATCCGATTTTGCTCCAACGTTGCATATCGTATACCATATATTTGTATCAGTCCTAGGTCAGGTGTGGACAATATCGCTCCACTCCATCAAGTACCTCCCCCACAAACGGTCAAAAATTGGAATAATTATAACTCTTATAAAATGTGATGCATGAGTCCGATTGTCTTCCAGTTACACACATGACAGTATTTTTATCAATCCATGGTCTGGTGTGAAGATAGGAAATATCGGTGCACTCGTTCTGGGAGCTCCCCAAAAAAAGGGTCAACATTTTGAATGTCCATGAATCCAATAAAACACGAAATTATCATACGATTCCATTCAAACTTAGCATATCTCAATATTTCTATACAATATAAGACCGGTTATAAAGATGGTAGAGATTCGACCATTTCTTCTAGTACCTCTCCCACAAAGGGTCAAAGTATAAAAAAACCAAAACAATTATTAAACCCGAAATTAGCATCCGGTTCCCTTCAAATTACACACATCATAATATTTTTTTTATTTTTTATCGGTGCACTCCTTCAGATACGTCCCCCACAAAGGATCAAAGTTTTGAATGTCCACGAATCTCATAAAACGCGAAATAAACATTCAGACTTAGCATATTTCAATATTTCCATCAAAACAAGATCTGGCAGAGATCGTACCATTCGTTGTAGTACCTCCCCTACAAAGGGTTAAAGTTTTGAAAAACCAAAACGATTAAAAAATCCGAAATAAGCATCCAGTTCTCTTTAAATTACACACATCACAATTGTTGTATTAACCCAAGGTCTGGTGTGAAGATGGAATATATCGGCCCACTTCTTCTGATACCTGCTCATCAACATTTTGAATATCCATGAAGCTCATAAAACGGGAAATTAACATCCGATTCCATTCAGACTTGGTACATCTTAATATTTCCATTAACACAAGAACTGTCATAGAGATGGTGGAGATCGGACCATTTCTTCTGATACACCCATCATATAGGGTTTAAAAACAAAACGCTCAAAGAATTCGAGATATGCATCCAACTCTCTTCAAATTTCACACATCCAAATATATTTGTTAACGCAGGATCTATTTAGAAGATGATATATCTGCGAACCTTTTCTGGTACCTAACCCACAAAGAGTCACAATTTTCAATACTTTTATCTGTCATAACTTGCGAAACAAGTCGACGATTCCTTACAACTCGCTATATTTAAATGTTTTTCTTAACCAGATATCAGATATGAATATGTAATCCATCGAAATTTATAATTTCACATAAAATTGGATTTTCGATTTTCTTCAAATTTTGCACATACCAATATTTTTATCTTTGTTAGATGAGGTATAAAAATGGAATACTCCGGTTCCTTATATCTGTTACCTCACGCATATTTCGACATTTTCCAAAAAAAGAATCCACAAACCTTATATAATTGAAAACCAATTGACACGGAATTTTGTTTGAGAAGAGAGTTAAGGACAGGGAAGAAGTCGAACATTTTGGATGACCATTGGGTTATATTTAGCAAGTAAGATGGAGGTTAACTTTTGTGTGAAATTGTTTAGAATAACTATCAGCACGACAGAGAGTGTAAATATTGGACAAATGTCATCGATCAAAAAGATAAGGGTAACATCGGACAGGACTCTATGATCTTTTTCAAAAAACGAAATCTTCCAAAATGGATTTGGACTTAAGGGGGCTTCTAACATATTGTAGTGTTGTAGGCTATCACATGCTCGACCTCGCACGACTATAGCCTTTGATTACTTGTTTTTTTTTTTTTTTTCATTTTTGTAAACAGTAGATTTTGCCGGGCCCATATTGAAAACAATATTAACAGCTATGACACATCTCAAAAGCAATCAAAGAAAAACTGTTGCTTTGGGTGCAAATACAAATGTCGTTTAAGCTTTTATAAATCATAGAATTCTGAAATTATTTTGCAGAATATGCAATTTTAATTATATTTTGTGTGAAAGTTGTTCTTTTTATCCTCAGTAACAAAAGAAACAATGTGTAAAGAATGACAAACATATATTGAAGTCAATATTCTTAGATAACATATTAAATATAATGTATTTTCGACAACGGCATTCCATGATGCTATTATTTTTAAAATTGTAAACAAAATTGGGAACTATAATCTCTTTACAACAAGTTAGAAAGAATCAGTCGGGTTTTGCCGATAGATGTATAACCTCCGTCAATAGCCGTTTATTAAAATAATTTTTTGACATGCGTTTGTATACCCTCCACCATAGTATGGAGGGTATATTAAGTTTGTTATTCCATTTGTAACACCACGATATATACATTTTAGACCCCACAAAGTACATATATTCTTGATCACAATAAAACTCTATGTCGATTTAGCAATGTCCGTCCGTCCAAACGAAATGAAGTAGGTTAATAAAATTGTACTTAAATGTACATTATGTCTGCAGGACTTTTGGTATTGAAAATGGACCATGTAGGTCCACGTTTAGGTATAGCCCCTATGTAACGGTACCTCCCGAT